TTTCTGTCCCAGCTCTGAACTTCCTTGAGCTGAGGGGGCTCAGGAGCCAGCACAGAAAATGCCACCAGCTAACCTAAGGAAGCACTTGGCACACTGGAAACAGCATGTGATCAGCATTGTTCTCCTCTCTGAAATGAGAATAAAGCTTTGTGGGGAGGATCTCCAAGCTTGGCTTTGGTTTCCTTTGCATTTGAGGGCCCAGCAGGGTACAAGAGGAATCCCAGCAGGCCAGAGGCAAGCTGTGCCCAAGCTGTGCAGCTCTGTCAGTGTTTTCTCAAGCCACAAGCACTGTTTCCATGCGCCCTGTTGGGCCTATTTCCACATATCCCACACCACCCATCACCTCACCTTTAACCCCAGGAGTTTCAATGGTAAGGAAATTACTGAAATGATCTGTGGTCAAACAAAGGAAAAGAGAATTATACACCGCACACACAAAAGTGCTGGTGGTAAGAACAAGGACAGCTTGCAAAATAAAACAAGAGGAGAAGTGGGTCTGCCTCAAACCTTGTCCTGCAGAGGCTGAGAACTGACTGCTCAGTTCAAGAGTGGCCTGCCCAAGGGGCGCACCAACTGAGAAATCTGAGAAATAGTGAGAAATCCTATTTGTCAGACATTTCAGTCACCCACCTGGGAAGAGGCAAACCACCTTGAAGCCCTGCTCATCTGCTCTCCAGCAGGTGGTCCAAGAAATGAGCTTTGAGTGAGCTTGGCCACAAAGACCCATCCCATTCTCCTTGGGGGTGGGTCCCAAAAGAAACCTGAAAGGTGTCACTACAGCAACTTCTGGTTTGGGAATGGGAGGGTAGGACCCCCAGCTGTGCTCATCCCATGGCCTCTCTTTTAGGGCCATCACCCCATTCACTGCATGACCAAAGCTGCCCATTGGGTTTCCAAGAGTCCTTCTGATTGCTAGATTGCTATGAATGGCTAAACCCCAACCACTTTCAGTGGAGACTTTCTCCAGGGAAACTGCTCTTGGTAATCTGCTTGGGAAAGAGAGGAGAAACTGCTGCCATTTTTTATGCAAAAAAATGGATTGTTATTCCAGGCAGCTATGACAGTAATTGAGGTAAGCAGAGCCAAACACTTTAAAATCTCTTCCTGTTAAGAACCGTGCTTAAACCAGGTCTGCAGTTTGAAGGGCCAAATCTTTTGAGGGAAGGTCTCGCAGCACCCATGCACCGTGAAGCCCTAATGCAGCAGCAACCAGGAGAAAATTCTTCCAGTTTTCAGCTTAGCCAGGTCAAACTGAGCACCACAAATATCCCCCCACCTTCAAACGGTGGCAGTTTCTGGACAGCCGCTTGTACAAGATAACCTCCTGTGCCAAGCCACCAGCAAACGGCCGGGAGAGCAGCAAAGGAGCTGCGTGAGGAGCCGGGCAGCAGCCAGTGACACAGATCTAATCGCCTCGCATTTGCCCCAAATATCTCCCTGCCAGGCAGTGACATGTCTGTGCTGTCTCAGCTCGCTCCTCCATCACCATGGCTACAGCAGCCGCCAATCCACGGACGAGTCCTTCCCGAGTACCACAAATCCTCCGGGAGATGCTACGAGAGCCAGCCCTTTGGCAGGGAGACACTTCGGGGACCCCGGGACAATCCATAGCACCAAAACATCCCCTTTTTCTTCTTTCCCTTCTCCTTTTTATTTTCTCTTTTTCTTTTCCTTTTTATTTTTTTTTTCTTTTTGAAGCACAAACAATGGAGCTAAAAGGTTGGGTATCAGGCCGATAATCATGAATGACGTGTCGTTATTACACACCACACATTCATTATCTCCCACTCCAGCCATGTCACAGGCGGCTGGAGGAGGGCAGATAACGGGGTGCCTTCATGCAGATGGCTTATTATCAGGATGTTCCAGGAGGGGCTTTAAGACAGTTAGTGATGCTGTTTGCCAGTTAAAGATTAGAGACCCCAGAGAATAATTAACAATCCCAAAACCCAGTTTTTCTGCTGGATTCTTCAGCTTTCTCCCCCCTCCCCCATCCTCTTTAATCTATTCACTCTAGCAGGTGTAATAAAGTGATAAGGACGGGCTCCGGGGATGTTTGTTTGGCTACTACGGGTGTATAAACCAACAATGGATGGTATTTTACTTCTGGCTTTCAGTGGCTTGAATCGAGACCAAAAACTTTGCAGTCCCCTTGCCCACACACAGCCACCCCTCCATGACATGCTGCTGGCTTCCACCTGGGTGGCTGGGTTTCTTCCCCACCCAAAGGACCACGAGGGTGGGACAGGCTCCCTTTTTTCCCCTGGAGATCCAAATCACACCCCTTGGGTGTCAAGGTGCCCAGTGCCAGGATATAAACCCCAAGTTTTCTCAGGTGCTCAGGAATAGAGCTGGTGCTGCTTCCAGCTAGTCTGTAATTAAACTACCTTGGGATCATTTCTATCATAGGTGTCCACCTGCCCAAACTGCTCCAGTTACAGCTGGAACAGAAACATCTCAAACCTTCATAGCTAAAGAGCCCTGGGAGAGATCAGGGAAGCATCAGAGTAAAGATGGCTTTCAATAAGATATCCCATTAATTATCTGGGGTTTCAAGAGGTGGATTGCACCCTCTTAGGTCACAAAGAAAAGTTATGATACAACTTGTAACAAAGTGGGGATGCAAAAAAACCCCACCCTGAATATCTTCTGCCCCAAAGGAGACTATTCTGTCTGCAGCAGAACACAACCCTGAGCATCTTCCTGAAACCCAAGGCTTCAGAGATAATGGCAGTTCAGAATGGGGGATGGAGCACTCATGGTGTCCTCACCCTTCACTGAGCATGGGGTTTGTGAAGGACACCTTCATCCCCCTGTGCTGCATGGAGAGAGGTGTTGGGGAAGATTTGGTCCTCAGGCAAGTTGGCTTAGGGCCCTTCAGAGAGGTCGCTGAGGCTGTGGGAGGTGCCCTTGACCTGGGGGTCTCAGGTCCAGCCCTGACTCTGGAGGACATTCCCCAGCTCATCGGGGCAGTGTGGAAGGCACGAGCACTGGCACGCCAGAAGTTGTCTTCCCAATCACGCTCATCCTGCCAGGGAGGGATGAGACAGCATTGTGCTTTAAAGAGCATCCCCACCCTATCAGCAAGAGATGAGATATCCTAATTATGGCAGTACAGGCGAGGATCTGGGCTGTATCAGCCAGTACAGAAAGGTAAACAAGAAATATAACAATGGACCCTTAACACTCATTAGCTGTGTCAGATAATACCTCACTTTTCTCCCTTTGGGGTTTAAAATCTAATTAAGATTTTCCAACAATAAATTTCATTTATGCTCGCTCCCTTTTGTTCTTTTTAGGATCACACCGAGAAGCATGTGTGACTGCACAGCTCAGGGGAAGGCAGCTTCAGTCAGCCTCAGCCAGTGCTTCACAGACAAGGGAAACTGAGGCAGGACAGCACCCTGGACAGTGCCCTGCTAGGACGTAGCACTGGCTCCTGCATAAGGTGTTTTTTCCAGGGAAGTGAACTCCAAAGGGCACTGGCTGTGATAAGACCAAGCATGGAGGTTCCTGGGGAAGCCCAGCAGTAAAACCTTGTCCTTGCTCAGACTTACAGCCATGGCAGGGATACATAGGGAAAGGGACAGTGAGACCCACTGAGCCCTCAGCACATCTCCACTCCAAACCCACATCCAGGCACTGTGGGGTGAGCAGTTCGGGCATCTGTCACACATTCACTATGTACACACGGCAGGGAATAAACTCCTCCTGTTACTCATTGTAAGGATGACACTGTTGACTTCTTTTGCAACTAAGAGGTAAAAAATTAATGGGTTCCCTTCCTCTTACCACACCCCCAGCCCAAGTGCTGACACGGCAGGAACAGGCAATGACTAATCCTTAAACCCTGCTGAGTGCAGCAGTACCACTGAACCTTGTTTTTTTCCAAACCCACGTGACGTTTGGCACCTGTGAGAGGAAAGTCAGGGGAGCAGCATCCATCAGGAGCACGAGTGGGGTGGTCCAGGACACAGCCTGGGGAGGGTGGTAGATGCAAACAACTCTGGTGTGATGCTGGGGATGCAGCCATTCTGCCTCCACATCTGAGGGCTTGACCCCTCTAACCCTTTTGCCTGTTTTCCTCCACTCCCACGCAATTTCTCAAGGAGAGTTGCAATTTCTCGATGCCAAGACTTTGAGGGCATTTTTTAAATACTCGCCTACTCTGGGTCTAGGGAAAATGCTTTTCGAGGTGGGTCTGTTACTGGAAGACATTCCTGAATTTTTGTGTCTCCATTTGCTGGGGACATCAGCAGCTTCAGCTGTGGGAAATGCACAGCAGAGCCCTAGAAACACCTTGCTTCCCCCAAAAGCAGAGGCTGCCAAAAATGCCCTTCTTATAAATTTCCCACTCCAGTGCTACTCCAGCTGGGCTGCCCTTGGTTGCAGAGTCCCTTAATTCTTTCCTCTCTGGTCAGGAAGAGGACCCTTCACACCACTGGAGTAACTCATGTTCCAGAAATGGCCAAAGCATCAGAGGGCTCTCATTTCAATCTACAAATGCCACAGCTTAGGAACACTCATTGTTCCCATGGTGGCCCTGGCACTGTCCCCACCACAGCAAAAGACAGACCCTGGTTAATGAACAGCCTGGCAGGAGCAGGCTGCACTATGTCCAGCTGCCCCAGCATAGCCAGCACTGCCCAGAGCAGCCCCCAGCCCCTTCCTGGCAGCACTGATAAATGCCTGCCCTCCGGCCCTGGAAGTGGCTCCCAGTTGGCTGTAGGGCTGCACTTTGAGGTCAGTGGGATTCAAGGGGTGCTGCCTTTCACCCATTAAGCAGCACTGGGAAGTGCTGGATTGTTTCAGTGCCTCAGTAACCCCACCTGGCAAATGAAGTGGAATGATGCTCTCACCTCCCTATATATCCCTTTGAGTTTCTGGGGCGGTCCAAATGCTGAGCATTCCCTGATGTCCTTCATTCTCCCAACTGCCTGAAGGCTGGGAGAGCCGAGAGATGCCAGAAAGTCCTTTGGTTGATTAGCAGAACGACCCTCTTTGCTGTCATAGGCAACAATTCTCTTTATTGCTCACCGGGAAGATATGTACAGAGGAGGAGGTTTGTTCTGACATTAAAATGCATGGTGTAGGTCATAAAAAGGAGGGTGAACTGGGGAGGAAAGAGCAGGTTTTCCATCAGCAGTTCCCTGGAGGGCAGCTGGGAGCGTGGGGAGGTCCCAGGCACCCAGCAGGATCCCCTCTGTGTTTTGAACAGCTCAACACCCTCCTGGGACTTGGGACATCAACCTCACCAGCCGGGTGGGGTGACCACCAGGCAGGAGAGGTGGCACCTCCAGACCTCTCCTGGGGGCCAGTGTCCTTGTGGAGGGACAAGAGCACGTCCCATGGGTGGAAAGGGGAAAGATCAGGAGGTGGTGGTGCCATGGAGGGACCAAGGCCCCATCACTCACAGGGAGTGCCAGTGCAGAGGGTCTCTGTGGAAATGCCCATTGCAACAGCAGGAAGTGAATTGAGAGGAAGAGGAGGGTGGTGGGTGGGTGCTGCTACATGGCCGTGGTGATGACCTTCTCCTCGGGATCCACAGCGTTCTCATAGACATGCTGGCTCTCTCTGGACCTGCATCAAGAGGGACAAGCACAATACTGAGCTCAGTCTCAGCATGACCAGTATCCCCAAAGCCACCACTGGCATCCTGACCTTGCTGGTGCCAGCTGTGCACTGAGTGAAGGGTGAGATGGGGACCACAGGAGGGGTCACCCTGAAAGGAGCCAAGTTTGGGGTGGGAATTGCTCTAATTTTTAGTGAGGGCTGTTTTAATTGTCACCATCTACGTGGTGACCTGTGGTCATTTTTGGTGGTTTTCTCTGTTGGAAAGTTGTGATGCAGCATAAGAAAAATGTGGTGCAGCAGGTTGTGAGGTGGTGGATGGATTGTGTGGCTCAGCTGCAGGGATGGGGAGTGATGAAGGAGAAGGAAATACTCCCTCACTGCCTTGTGCTTAACCCCTGGAAAGGTTAAAATCCCCCAAAATAGGTGCATGGGATGTGTAAGACCCTGAGGGGGCGAGACCACAGCTCTGCATGTCTGAGCTGTCCCCAAGGAGACAGAACAGAGCCTAGGAGCCATGGGGCTGAGCAGGTCCTTCACCTGAAGTCAGCTGCAGCTGATACGAATCTCACTTCATGGCCGTTGGATGTGACAGCATCTGGCTTGTCTTCCACACTCACCACGTTCTCCACATTTTCCCTGGAGGCAAAGAAGAGAGGAGCTGAGACAGAGCAACAAAGGAGCCAAGCAGGGGAGCAGCCTCTTACTGGTGATGACACTACAGAGACAATAAGGGACCTGGATGTGATTCTGTCCTTGGACACCCTGCTCAGGCTCCTTCCCAGCAGGAAAAGGACAAGCAGAAACACTCTCCCTGCAGGTTTGCAGAGGCTGTGCCAAATGCCAACCCCTGTGTCTGCAGCGGTGACTCCCAGCGCTGTGCTGGCAGTCAGCAGGACTCACTGTCAATACATGGGATTGTTTTCTCCTGCTAACTGGTTTTTCCAGTCTATTTCTATGTAATCTGTTGCAAAATAGTCCCCTGTGGATTCTGAGGGACACGGAGAGAGCAGTCAAGGCTCTGCTGGTGCCTCAGCCCTGGAGCTGAGGGCTGTCCTTGTGCACATCCATGCGAGCAAAGCTGAGCTGCTCTCCCTCAAAACCGAGTCTGGATCGCTTGCAGAAGGAACCACTGGGCAGGGATGGGGTGTTCAACCTCAGCCAGACTCCAAGACTCAGCTCTGGAGCAAGCCTGTAGCCTGAGCAGTGCCAGGGAGATTTAGCAGCAGAGGCTGGGTGCAGGTCCACCCTGCCTCCTCCAGCACTTGCCCAAGGGCAATTTCAGAGGCTTCTCCAAGGAACAGCCTGGCATAAACAGGCAGTGGCTCGAGCTGATAGCTGCTGTCACAGTGACAGCACAGAGCTGGCAGGGCTCCAGGCTGCCAAGCCTCGCTCCTGCTCTTCTGAAGAAAGGCCAGATTAATTAAAACAAGGCACCATCCCCCCTCAAGCCCTCCTCAGCATCCTCTGCCTCCAGGCTGGGAAAAGGCAGCCAGGCAGGGCAGCAGTGGGAAACACCTGCCTGCCACTCCATGGGCTGGGGACTCCTTCAGTTTGAGGACAGAGCTTCCTCTTTGGGAAACAAAGACTACAGTGACAAATCAGACCATATAAATATATATATATATATACACATATTGTATTATGCACTGGCCTGGAATGCATCCCAAAGGGACCTACTTAAAATGTTTCTGGGGCTAAAGCTGACCTGGTGATCATCAGAGATCATCATAGCAGCTCCCCACCTGCTCAGCCTGGAGAGGCTGCAGGAATGCACAGGTACAAAAACACTCCAGCCTAAAGCAACCCCACCAGTGCAGAGGAACTGGGAACAGATGTGGGGTGCTTTTTGGTCTTCATCCTCTCTTGCCTTTGGGCTCGAGGTCAAGATCACATTACTGTAACTTAGCCAGTTGCCCTTGCTCAGCAGAGCAGGAGGAGCAGCCTTAGACTCTGCTTGGTCAGCATCAGGCAAGAGGTAACCCATCCCACAGAGCCTTTTTCAGATGAATGAAGACACCAGATTTTCCTGTGCCGTGGGCTCCAGGTGGAGAGTACTGCCACTGCCTGGCTATCTCCCTTCTCCCAGCTCCTCTGTGTGTCTTCACAACTTGGCTCTGTCTGCTTTGCAAAAAAAGCTGGTTCAGGCTTATTAACCCACAGATATAAGGCACACGGGAGCTGCACCCCCAAAAGCCATAGAAAACCAGGCTGGGCCAGCCCCCTGAACACGTGCCCATGTAACACAGCCACGATGTTGTGGCTTTGCCATTCCCAGCACAGCATTTGTATGGTGCAAGCTCACACCTAGCAATGAGTAACAGGGATCAGAGACCATGACAGGGACAAAAGGACAGGGAGATGAGGACAGGCAGTCTTTGCTCTCCCAGTCCATCTCCCAGCACAACAAGCATGGTGTTCCCAGCCCTGGCACATGCACAGAGGCTGCTGGAAGTGACACGTGCCAAGCCAGCTGAGCCCAACCCAGAGCAATCCCCCACACTTACACTTTTTCCTTGCACCAGAACCTGTTGACCACGAAAGCGATGGCCACCAGGACTAGAAATACAACCACTGCAATGACACCCTGTGCCCACGGCTGGAGGCTGCCCCGGGCTGCAGGGAAAGAAGAGAATATGTGTTAGAAATTGATCCCCAGGCTTTATCCACTGAGCTTCTCCCATCCAGCTTCAGCAAGGTCCAGATGAGAGCTTGATCCTGCAAATCTGAGCAGAACATGCTGCTGTCAATTCAGGCAGGCTTACCTGGGTGATAGCAATGAAATAAAGTACAATTAACAGTGTTTTCACGGTGTTATGGAGTGTGGTGCCTTGCAGCTTTGGGACCCCACATTTACTGACACACACATACAAATACATAAACATGCACCTTGGGGGGCTCCTTGGTGACTCTGTGATGGGGGAGAAAGGCTGGGGGACATGGAGGAAGGGAGTGAAGGAGAATATTTGCAAAGAAAAGAAGGCAGAAGGGTTTCAGCAAACTGCTTATTCTCCATTCCCCAGATGCCACAGACATCATTCCCAGGATATTTCCCAAATACTAACTGGTAAAATAAGGACTCCATAAGAGGGCGAGTGTAAAATTTGGTTGTCATTTTCTCAGTAAAAAGTTGTCACTGTGGATTCTGGTAAAATGCACCATTCAACAAGTTCCCAGAGCAGCAAACAATTTATGACAGGAATTGAAGGCTGATGAATTCAGAGGAATAACCTTAGCACAAAGTCCAGGCAGGGCTGGCGTGGGACCCAAGACATTGGGGTGGAGAGTGGGGGTGTGGGAGCTGACTGGGGTATCCCCATTTTTCTCAGGGACGGAACAGACTGACAAGCTTGTTTTTTTCTATCCAGACCTATGCAGGAATCCAGCCATGGGTGGGAAGGCTGTGAGACATTCCTGTATGTGGGCAGGATGCAAGGGCAGGCAGTGAGAAGAGGAAACCTTGTCCTAGCCCTTGCTGGGATGGCTGCTCCTTGCCTCCCAGTGGATTTTGGAGCATTCAGGCAGAGTCAAACCCATCCTTAAATGCTGTCACATCAGCACTAAGGAACACCTTGTCCAAACAACCACCACCCTTTGAGATCTAATTACTGTTTATTCAGACTCCTCTTCCTCATCTGCTGATCAAAACTTCTCATCTACTGATTTAAACACCGACCCTTGCACATAACGTGGTCGCCTGCACGGGCAGGTGGGGCAGGTGGAGGGTGACACCTGCCAGCCCCAGCATCAGCCCCAGACTGGGACACCTGCAGGGCTGAGCTGCTCCAGGATCAGCAGTGGATATTTCAGTCTCCCTCAGGAACTTTACACTGAACACTTCCTCTGTCTCACAGGAGACAGGCCTCTGCTATAAACAAAAAATAATCTTTACTAGCAGTAGTAAAGAGGAGGCTGCGTGATCCACACGTGCCAACTCCTTACCCACAGACAGCTACACATTGGCTCTGCTGCTAGCAGCTCTCCTCTCCTCCCTCTGGTTTAGGGGAGGGGGACTGTCCTTCAGTAACACCCTCAGCTCCTTGAGTCTTTACTGCAAGAGACTTTTATTTTAAAAACAATAAATAAAACAGAAACAAAACCTCAAACTCAAAACCCGAGCTCTTTCTTCCTCTTGGAAGCGAAATCAGCCTGGTCAGTTGACTCACCAGCAGTGCCAGTCTGGAGAGCAGTGGCACTCATGGGCAAGGGGCTGTGAGAACAGCCCTGAGCAGCATCTCTCACCCCCTCTCCCCACAGAGACATTTGTGTGTTTCTGCAAGGTCCCAGGGCAGAAACTCCAGCAGGAGGAATTCAAATGGAAATTCCCTCTTGTATCAGCATGTTTCGACTGAAATACCATTGTATCAGCAGGCTGCTGGGGGTGGTAGCCAGGGGTGGCGACATGGGGAAGAGCAGGGGCTGGTCCCTGCTGCCCTACCTGGTGGCCAAGGATGCTCCTGCCCTGCTGCCCACCCCGCTGTGAGTGCAGCCCCAAACACACCTATTGCCTCCTGGCTGAATTTTGGCTCATCCTCCCTCACTCTGCCCTTGGCTGTTGGCCACATTTATTTATTTGTAGTTGTATTTTTCCTGCCAGATCCAGGGTTTCCAGCCTAAGCCTAGTGAGGATGGTCAGGTCCAGCCCTTGGTGAGGTTTCTGCTGGGGTTAAGGGAGCTCAAGGTCAACCAAGGAATGAAGTCAGCAATGACTTAAACTGCCAAATTTGCATTTTGTGATCTTCCAGCAAAGGAGGGGAAAGATAAGAAGTGATAGCAAACTTCCTTGGAGCAGCCCTGCTCAGGAGGTACTGGATGTTTTTGAAGTGAAATCTCACTCCTGTGGCTGTTTCCACCAGATTTCAGAGCATCCAAAGCCAAAAGGGAAAACACCAAACCAAAATCAAGAGGTTCTGGCTTTGAGAGACCACGTAGGGCCTGGCTGCAAGCGGAGATAAGGGTGGTAAGGGAATGGCAAATTCCTCCGCATTGGGCTGAAATACCCGCTGGGAAACTTGTACAGGCATAAGAAAGGAGGAATGGGGATCAGGCAGAAGCAAGAGCTTGATAGGATCTATTCAGGGAGTAAATGTTTGGGTCCCAGCCCTGGGGGCACTGCCTGGCTGGAGCCCCACGAGCACACCTTGCTGCCCTGCCAGGAGGGATGGCTGAAAGGATAAGTCTCACCTGTGGAAACAGGAACGTGTTCCTGGAAAAATGCTTCACTGGGGGTGCCCCTCCTGGCTCAGCCTGTCCCTCAGGCTCTGCCACCTCCTCCCTGTGTTACCACATGGCAATGATGGGGTTTTCCCCCACAGGGAAGATCTCCAAGGCCAAAATAAACTGTGTGGAATCTGCAGCCCTGGCAGCTGTGTCTGCACACATCTGCAGCTACAAACCAGACCAAGGGAAGCTCTGGTGCCAAAAACAGCCTGTGCACTTGTTGCAATTCCATTTCCATACTCAACAGCTAATTTGAAGATGCAGACCTGCTTTTTAATACATCTTCTCTGAGTATTTGGAAAGCTTTGGCTGGCCTGTCTTTTCCACTCTCTAAGGAAGCCAGGCTCTGAATCCTCATTAAAAGATTTTTTTTTTTTTTTTACTCTTTCCAAGCAACAGCAAAACTTTCAACCCTACTGACAATGGCCACCCTAGACTGTTAAATCCTCAGCAAGTTGGTAAACAAACACAGGAAGACCGGTCAGGGCTGGGGCATCAGGAGGAGAAAGGGGGAGGGAACTTTCCGGGACTTTGGCAGCACCAGATGAGTTTTAATTACTCCTCATTATTTCTAGCACTAAAGAAGCCCTTTAGTGAATTTCCTAAAAATAATACCCTAGCACAGGAAGTTTCTCTGTTAAGTCTTTGGGAGGAGAAGAGGAGGTCAATTTGCTGAGGAAAATGTTTGTTCTCTCTCCTCAGCAATGATCAAAATTACAGATTAACAGGAGGATCTGAGAGCTCAGGGAGCAACCCAGAATAACACTTGCTCAAGGATAAGAGTGAGAAAAAAGAAAGAAAGAGAAAAAAACAGCCTTGAGAAAACAGATCACTCATCTCAGTGCACAGTCCTGCCAGAGGTAAATCAGAGCAGTTTATCTCTGTGTGAGCAGCTCAGATAAACCTCAGGTGGCAGTTTCAGCAAAACAGGTAGAAAGTCTCTACGTCCCGGCTCCAGCAAAACCCCTCAACCCACGGGGCACCCAGCCATGCTGATGTGAATCCAGAGCTAAAGCTCAGCTTGTCTTTCAAAGCTCAGGCAGGAGCTGGGATGCATTTCCCCTTCCAAGAGGCTCTTGCACAGTTGTGCCCCCAGCAGCTCCCACCTGCCCGGGGCTCCGCACACCTTCCTGCCCCTATCCCCGGGATGCCGGGCAGCTGGCCGCACTCACCTTGCTGGCAGAGGGCAGGTTCCAGCTGGAGGAGCAGTCCCAGGAGGAGCAGGCAGTGGGCAGACATGGTGGAGCAGAGCCGGGAGCTGCCCTTGGGCACGGCGCCCTGCCGCAGGAATGAGCGCCTGGTCAATTATCAAACACCTTAACGAGGGAGGCGATGCTCTCACCTGCTTATTCAAATCCCGTACGGGAAGGAGGTGCCTGTTCCTTCGCCTTCTCCCGCGGAAGCCAGCGGGGAATTTGGGGCACGGTGACTTGAACCTGACAGTCCCCTTGGGCAGGGCGTGGAAGGGAGCTCAGGCACAAAATATTTGTATCGGCCCAGGAGGAAAAAAACAAGACTCAGATGGGTAAAACTCTTCCCCAGTGAAGCTTGGGGAGCGTGGTGTCCCCCAAGTCCCCTCCCACAGGGACAGTCCAGCAATGCCCCAGCTCTGGCATTCCTTCCCACCCTGGGGGACCCCCACTCGCTTCCTTGCTCTTCCTTTGCTTTTTCTTTTCGACAAGCGTCACTAATAACCCAGCAAAACACAGTTGTGATTTTAAAACATCCAATTATAGACCAGACTCTGTGCTGGGTGCTGCCTCTCACCTCCCACACCTTATTTAATGGTGACACTATTAAGCAGAGCAAACCCAGCCTTCATTTTATTGAGCCATCAGGGCTGTCCCCAAAATTTCTTCAATACCAGAAGAGATAGAAACAGCCAAAGAGCTGCAAGGCTTGTCCTTCACAAAAGCTGCACAGAGGCTGCAGGACAGAGAATGTTGCAGGTCCTGAGTTAAGCAGTTTTCCAGCCCGTGTCAGGTTTGGATGACTGGCAAACCCACCCCACAGGAAGAATAAAAGATATTTGGCTTCACAGCTGAGAAACTTCAATTGCTCCTGAAGGAAATTATAAAACTGTGAGCCAGGGGTTCCATTGTCACTGTTCTTGTGACGTGTCACAGCATCTTTGTAATCCCTCAGCAGCATCTGAGCCCCTGGCCTCTGGGTGTGGTCATTTCCCCTCCAGGGACCCTGCCTGGGTGCTCTGTCCTGAGTAGAAAATTGCATTTTATCCCCATGGGACCCGTGGCCAGGAATGTGCAGCACCCTCAGGAATGCACACCCACTGGAGGAGGAGGACTGCCCTCCTTCATCTCAACTCTTTACCCTGTATTTACAATAATATTTATACGGAAGACAAAGCAGATCTGACTTGGAGCTGTGCTAGATCAAAGGCCAGTTCCCAACTCTTTCCCAAATTCCTTTCCATGGCCAGATCCCCATCTGCAATGTGGGATTACCCCACTACCAAGCCTCCTAATTTTTGCTTGTGAAATCTTGTGAAAGGGACTTTCCTACTGCACCCAGCAAGGAAGTGTCACAACAGGGCTCCATAATTAGGCCCTATAAAACAATCTGATGATATTACAGAGGAAAAGGAATGTCTTGTGGATAAGAAAAAGCGAGAGTGAACTTTGTGCTCCCCAAGACCTGCTTCCACATTGTCTGGGAAAGCGTGCAGAGCTCGTCGTGTTTGCTGCCTCCCTGTTGCTTTTCTCTTTGCAAAAGCCCAGCCAAAGCAGCCCGGGTGTTTGGAGCAGGAGGCTTTATCAGCAGATCAGAAGTCCTAGAGAAGCTGCTGCCCCTGGGAAATTCAAGGTCTGAGACATCGTGCTATTGCTGTCCACTCCCTGTCAGCCTGGGGCTGGCTCCTGAGCTTCCTTCTCACGTACTCTGGGTTCTGTTATCACCCCGGGGCTCTGCCCAGCACAGCTCCAGGGACTTTGGGCTGATGTCCCCAAGACAGGGAGGTCTCAAGGATCCACCCACATGCTCTGGTGTGTTGGGGTGATAGGACATGACAGACCAGGCCCTGGGTGAAGGCAGGGCTCCGTGCCTTTCAGACACTGCTCTTGCTGTCATGCTCCAATTGCAAGTTCCCACACACTGACATGAAATTTAAGACAATTCAGTGATTTAATCGTTTGATTAAACGATTGATGAGGCCAGGGAATCACTCAGTGCTTATCTCAAATCTCCCCTGTGCTCCAAAGCATGTTTAGCCCCTGCAGCTATTAGGAAAGTCCCTGCTTTCGTGACAAAGCTCCCGTGGCACCTCCTTGATTGCAAATCCCTGGGTCTGGCCTGGGAGGGGGGGTGAGAAGCTGCAAGACACTGTGGCAGCCTCACTGCAGGGGCAAAGTCTGAATTTTCAACAAATTATTTGCCAGCCAGGTTTTCCTTTTGTCATCCTGGCCGTGGCTTGGGACCTGCAATAACAAACTGTGTTTTATATATTGAAAAAATTATATTTATATTTATATTTATATTTATTTTTATATTTATTTTTATTTTTATTTTTATTTTTATTTTTATTTTTATTTTTATTTTTATTTTTATTTTTTAATATTTATTGTATATTTATAACTTTATATATAAATAAAATTTATATATTTATGCATAAACTATGTATGCTTGTTTGCAAATAAACAAACAATAATAACTGTGTGTTTCTGCTGCAGGGTGCTGGAAATGTTGCTGTCTCTCTCATTTAAGCCTCCAGCATCACCCAGCATGGTGAGACAAAGCCCTACTGGTCCATTTTAGAGCTGAGGGAAACCGAGGCACAGAAGGATAAATCACCCTGGCAGCATTTAGTCAAAGCCAAGTGGGGCCAGAGCCAGCTCAATGCTCTTTCAAGGACCCATGTGAGCAGTTGCTTGTATAACAGATTTTACACAGGGCAGGGATTGGAATTTCAGGCTTCATACTCATATACTCCAAAAATTCGTGATTATTTCCCCTAAAAAATACATAAGTTTTAGGAAAAATTAGTATTTGCTCAAAGCAACATTTCTGGATGTTACATCTCAACACACAGATGCCAGTTTCTCTTTGAAAAACATTGTGAGATTTTGTGTTTTAATGGAAATTCTTTTCTTTCTTCTTCATCTCCTTCACTTCCTTCCTTCCTTCCTTCCTTCCTTCCTCCTTCCCTCTTTCATCCTCTCCATTTCCTCCCTGTCTCCCAGACAGAGCCATAAAAATAAAAACCTGACAATTCCCTAAAGAAGAGACTGTATTTTTCATAGAACAGTAATTATAAATGTATTACATTTCAATAGCTGCTAAGAAACATTAAAAAATCCACACCAAAAAAAAAAAAACCAAAACCAAACCAAAACAAAAAACCCCCAAACAAACAAACAAAGAAAAGCATAAATCAAATTTATAATTTCTTGTTTCTTTTGACATCTACTATCCAAACCAAATTTTTTGCTTGTGCCAGAGTTCTCTCATTCCCTGTTGACACTTGTCTCTCAAATCCTGCCTGCTCTGGATGCTGCCAGGAGAGAACCAGGAGCTACGACCACTGTGAAAAGGGCATTTTCTTGGCTCAGTGTGCCAATGTGGGTAAAAGACAGCAGAAAAAGGCAGCTCCTGCTCTGGGTTTTCATCTATCACAGCTCTGTACCCCACTTCTCCTCTTCAAAAATGCCTTTAAACTGACATATATTTTCTTATTTATGTCCTGTTGAAAACCCCAGTGTCAATGGTTTGGCAAAAGGCATGCATGGCCTTCATTTGCCCTTAAGGTCAGCTCAGCAGCACCACTGCTGTATTTCTGTATTGGCCCACGAGTATTTCATGGGGCATTCTGGATGATGTTTTTTACACCAGTTGATTTTAGGATGGATCTCTGGGCAGTGTTCACTCCCTTCACTCCCTGATGCTGCTGCTCCTACACCCAAGGGCAGCTCTGGGGTCTCTCCTCTGTCCATTGTCCCCTCTGAGCTCCCTGCTCCTCTGTCCCTGATGTCAGGGCTCTGACAGCACATTCACATCAGCCTCAGGCACCACAGCCTTGGAAAATTAGGCAGAGAAAACACCTACGTGGTCTGCCCTGCCTTGCCCTGGGCTGGGAGGAATCAAACTAAAAACCCCTGAAACAAGAAGAAACCTCACCTGCCTCTTCTTTGCCTTATTGTTGGGGGATGAGCCTGCATCTGTGATTCCCCCTGGCTTTTCCATCTGCTCAGAGGGAATATTGCACCCCTAATCTCCTCTGAGTGTGGGGGGAAAGCTCTGCTGCCTTGCTGGAGTGGCAGATAGGAAGGTTCCCAATGTGTGATGCTCAGAAAGGGAGAAAGGAGCTGACTTTGCTCTGGATATTCCCTCCTGCCCAGAGATATCGAATGGAATGAATAATTTGCTATCCGATCATCTCTAATCTTCATCCCATAAAATCAGCAGCAAGCTGGGAGGGTTTTTGAAGCCTCCAGCTGCATTTGCTGATAAGACATGAGGCAGGAAAGATTGGAAGCCCATAAAAATGATAATCTCAGGCTTCAGTGTAACTTGGTGGAAGGGTTTTCTCCTGTCCTTTCATTAGGGATGGATTTCATGATCTCCCTTAAATAACAACAAGCCTTCTCACGAGGAATCCCCCACCCGAAAACTGATTGCATCGTCATTAGGAAATAGGAGACCAAGAAGCCACGAAAAAATAGATGGTGCACGGCTGAGCTCAAGGCTAAGGCCAAGGGTTGGGAGGAAAAGAGGGAATTGGAAGTAATTTCTGACCACAGAGAGAATCTTTAGGCATTGGGGCTCTGCCTAGGAGAGTCAGGCACTGGCACCATGTCAAGCTGCTGGGCACAAGCCTGACCATGAGCCTGGATGTGGAGCAAAGACTCCTCCTCATCTTTCACCTCTTTGATATGAACAGAAATATCACATTTCATTTCAGTGTGATTTAATACAACATCCTCTACACCAGCCCCAAATTCAGTGAATCTGGAGAGAAGAAGGGAAAGGAAAAAAACCCACTTCATCAACCATTTACATGTGAATTTCAACTGTGATGGACAAAAGGAGGAGAAAGGAAAGGCGGCTGGTTTGGTGAGGATGGAAAGTTTCAGGAAATAATTACCTCAGATGCCAGAAAATTAGGAAAAAATATAGGAGAAATAGGAGAAAATTAAAAGTGTAAACTATAATCAGATGTTAAATTGCTTTTCTTCAGCTAATTGAAATTATGTTTTCTCTGCTACCCACCACTCTACCTCTTTCAGATGCTAATCCCTATCAAACATGGACTTACAATTACAAAT